CTACTTGGCTAAATGTCAGTCGCAGCAGCTGCCACTCAGTGCGGTAGTGATTGGAGGTAGTGTGCGAGCCCCTGTGGTTTTCCGTCCCTAATGGTGGTTCTTACCCCCCCCCCCCCCCGTGGAGAGGGAAGGGATTGAAAGTGGGTACTAGGAAACAGATCACCGGAAGCAAGCTGATGGGAGGAAAATGTGGCTGTCTGTCATGTGTTGTGAGGTCACCAGAGCAGAACTCTGTCCCATCCAAGTAGAGAGGACCGTCTTCAAAAACATTAGAGCAGGCTAGAATAGCGGGGATTGTGGCGAACTGCAGAACGCTTCCTACCACTGCTATTCAGCGCCCACCATGTGAGAATCAGTAGCCTCCAACTGCTTAAGAAAAAAAACAGAAGTCTGACTTTTATTTATTTATTTATTTACTACCTGCTTATTTATTTACCAGTGCATGTAGCTGATCTGGAACTCACCACGCTAGGCTGTCCTCAAACTTGTGGAAATTCTTCCTGCCTCCTCATCCTCCTAAGTGCTAAGTGACAGTTAGGAGCTGCCATGTGTCCACCCCTACCGTGTCCACCAGAAGTTGAAATTTATTTTATTTACTTAGAGATGGGGTTTCATTGTGTAGCCCTGGGTGGCCTGGAACTCTCTGTTATAGACCAGGTTGGCCTTGAACTCATGGAGATCCATCTGCCTCCCAAAGTGCTTAAGCTAAAGATGTGTACCACCATGCCCAGAATCCTGAGTGTTTATTAGAAATAATGACTCAAGCCAGGTGTGGGGAAGAATGCCTGTAGTCCCATCACTTGAGAAGCTGAGGCAAAGGAATGACCATGAATTTGAAGCCAGACTAGGCTACAGAACCAGACCTCGAGTCAAAGGAATAAAACCAATCTTGGTTAGATAGCTCACTTCTTTTTGAGACAGGGTTTCCCTGTATAGCCCTGACTGTCCTGGAACTTGCTCTGTAGACCAGGCTGGCCTCAAACTCACAGAGATCTTCTTGTCTCTGATTCCTGAGCGCTGGGATCAAAGGTATGCACCACCACTGCCAGGTAGATAACTCACATTTTTTTAATACCAACATTTAGAAGGCAGAGGCAGACAGATAAGATCTCTGTGAGTTTGAAGCCAGCTTGACCTGTACAGTGAGTTCCAGGCCAGCTACGTAGTAATATCCCATCTCAACCCCTACCACTGCAAAAAGTAATGTAATAAATAAAATAATTAAATTTAAAAAGAAATCAAAAAATGTTTCAATGAGTAAAGGATCGACTCAATATTTTTTAAAGTGCTCCATGAGGCAAGTCAAGTGTGTGTATGATCAGCGCTTGGGCGGCTGAGACATGTGGTTTGAAGCCAGCCTGTTCTACATAGCAAATTCCAAGATATCCCAGGCTAAATAGACAGGCTATGTCTCAAAAAACAAAACAAAAAACAAAGGTGTCAAGACTATGACACAAAATCAGCCAGCCCAAACTAGTGAGAAATCACTGACTCAGGTCTGACAAATGGGGATCCTGCATAAGACCAAACTAGACTCCCTTAATATAGGTGACCATGGTGCAGCTGGGACAATATATGAGCCCACTGGCAGTGGGTCCAAGATCTAACATGAACACACAAACTGACTCAGTGGAGCCCATTCTGTATGGAGAGATACTTTGCTCAGCCTAGACACAGGGTGTGGGGGTGGAGGGGAACCTTGGTCCTGCCACAACTAAATGATGGGACAGACTTAGTTAACTTCCTAGGGGAGGCCTCACCCTCTCTGTGGAGCAGATGGGAGGAGGAGGGGAGGGGGAACTGGGATTGGAATGTAAAAACTTAATTTCAAAAATGAACAACAACAACAAAAAGGTCTGAATTAAGGCCAATGGTTTACATCCTTTGAAGACAGGGACAGAGACACCAACTCCCCAGTCCCTTTCTACAAACATGGCATGTTACAGGCTGCAAATACCTGCCACGTAGTCTCACAGAGGGAGAAGAAGTCACTACCTATTGCAGGAGTGGATTTCACGGCTGTCAGAAGCATCAGGGTTAAGACGTTAAAGAGCAAGAAGGGAAGGGGACTGGGCTGCAGCTCACTTGGCAGGTTGCTTTGCCTAACATGCACCAGGCCCAGGTTTGACCTCAGCACTGCATAAACCAAACACCTTGACACATCCCCGTAATCCCAGCATGTGAAATAAGGAGCTTCATCCAGCTAACTTTCTGAGTAGAGAAAATTAGAGATAGGGGTAGCCTGGGCAGGCCTTGTGCTTGCCGTGTAGCCAAGGCTGGACTCAAACCTCCACTTCTCAAGTGCTGAGACTGTAAACGTGTCCATCCGGTTTGGCTCAAAAGTTAGTCTTTTTAAATTGTTGTTGGTTTTTTTTTTGTTTTTTGTTTTTTTAAATTTATGTGTGTGCATGTCTGTCTGCCATATATGTGGGTACCCCAGGAGGACAGAAGAAGGCATCTGATCCCCTGAAACTGGAATTACAGAAGGTTCTGAGCCACCCTGTGCGTGCTGGGAACTGAACCTGGGTCTTCTGAAAGATTACTAAATGCAGTTAACTGATGAGCCATCTCTCCAGTCCCCTCAAAAGTTAGTCTTTAAGAATATATATATATATATTAAACTATTAAAATCAAGGTCAAAGAGACAGGTATGGTATCACATAGCTGTAATTCTAGTACTTGTGAGGCTAAAGTAAGATCATGAGTTCTAACCTCATCCTGAATTATATAGCAAGATCCTAACTCAAGTTAAAAATAAAATTGCTGCTTGGCAGTGGTAGCACACACCTTTAATCCCAGCACTCAGGAGGTAGAGACAAGTGGATCTCTGAGTTCGAGGCCAGCCTGGTCTACAGAGTGGGTTCCAGGACAACCAGAGAAAACAAGTCCAAATGTCATGGTGGAAACTAGCTATAAGGTGTTTTATTAATCTTGTGTACTGTGAAGCGGAACTTTGAAGGGGTTATTAACAAACACTGGTGGAGATAGCAAAATCTCCTGAGAATCATGGGCTTCATCTGGGTAATACACAGTAGATCCTGACTCTGGAGCGGCTGGGTTAGGTACAGGCATGCAATGCTAGTCACGTGCTGGACAGAATAACCCAGTTCAGGTGGGCTGATTCCATTGAAAGAGGCCCTTTCCCTTTCGAGAGAGAAGCCAGCCAATTCTCCCACCTCCGGTTCAGTCAAGGCTGTTCACCACTGAACAAGAACACAGAAGACCCAGGTAGTGATGATGGTTACTGTCAGACAGCTAAAATCCAACTCCTGCTGTGTGGTAGGCATATGAGAAGCTGTGAAGGAGGCTGGGACATGTCCCATGGGGGTCTTTCCAGGAGTGTGGAGAATGCTGGGCACTAGTGGAAAATTTCTGAGCCCGTCTGCCACTGTGCCTTGAGACCAAGTAGTACTGGCTTCAGGTGGCCTCTGCTCAGAGGGTTTCTGAGTAAGATGAAAAGCCCAAACCATGTCTGTATATTCTGAGAACTCTACATGTTGACAGCCACCTTTCAAAAGACAAAGTCAAGGCAGGGCTGACTTTAGGTGTAAAGAGCAACCCCTTCAGGGCTAAAGATGGTCCAACTGAGGCATCTAAGAACCTGTTGCTGACCCCCATCCTCCTGGGCTGACTCAGAAACAGGGTTCTCTGTGTAGCTCTGGCTGCCCTGGAGCTCGATCAGTAGACCAGGCTGGCCTAGAAGTCACAGAGCCTGCCTCTACCTCCCAAGTGCTGGGATCAAAGGCCTGGGCCACCAAATCCCCGCTGTGTCTAGCCTTTTACAGGCCGGTTCTTGGTTCATCGTAGCTCCCTGGTCTGTAGGTAGATGACCTTCCTCACTGTCCACCCTGATAAAGGCAGGCCATCTCCTGTTCTTGGAAGGGATTTTACCACTTCACAGGACCTGCTGAAAATCCTCCTCTTCCTCCCTAAAGGTATAGATAATTCCCATGGAGTGAAGGGGAAGGAAGCAAGATTTACGGCACAGATTCCCACCCTAACCCCCACACACGCCAAAAACAGAAACTGAGTTGCTCAAACCAGGCAAGTAGCTGACGAGCAATACTCTTGCTGAGTGTCTTGGGGCTGTGAGACATCTCAGAGGACCCGAGGAGAGAAAGATGCGAGGATTGGCAACCCAAAGTTTCACTGCCCCGCCCACCCCCAAATTCTTGGAATCAGAAAATCCAGTCTTCCAAAGTAGGTCAGCTCAGTAGCGAGGCAGTTTCTCTGGAAGGGAAGGGAGCAAGGGCCTTATCCTCACAGAGGACAGAGCCATCCAGGGCCCCAGGGGCACAGGAGGGAGCGGAGACAGGGAGCCCGAACCAGCGATCAGAAAGAGTCCAGGGTCACAGATCTGCACCAGTCAGCCTAGACTGTGATGCTGTGATCCCTCTTACTGCAGGAAAGCGGACTGTCCGGAAGGAGGGGTAGATGGACAGGAGGCTGAGTTTGCTGGGGGGGGGGGCGGGGGAGGGCTTTCTGTCACTTCAAGAGCCTGGAGGCTGCCCCTGTGTCCTGGGCCCCATGACCTCTGGGGCCTTGGCTTCCCTAGCTGGCAGAGGATTGGGCCTTCCCTGGGACACCCCCTTCCTCCTTCCCACAAGCCTGCCTCTCTCTCTCTCTCTCTCTCTCTCTCTCTCTCTCTCTCTCTCTCTCTCTCTCTCTCTCTCTCTCTCTCTTTCTCTCTCTCTCTCTCTCTCACACACACACACACACACTCGCCTCCCTCTCAGGCATTTGTTGTGCAGTTCCTCTTTGTCTGCTGGGCAGGAGGGCAAACACATCCCCCTCCCCTCCCCGTGTGCCTCCCCCCACCCACTCTCCACGGTCTTGGAAAAGGGATGCTGTAGTCTAGCATTCACCCTCCACACACTTGTACATTTTCTGCTGCCCCCTCCCCAACACATCCACGCCTCTCTCTCCCTGTCTCTCTCCCTCTCCCTCTCTCTCTCTCTCTCTCTCTCTCTCTCTCACACACACACACACACACACACACACACTCACTCACGCCGGGCTCTCAGCACATACACCCTGAGCTGAGCGGTTCTGCCGGCTGCAGCCGTGGGCCCCTGCTCACCGTGCGGCTGCCACTGCCTGCGAAATGACGGCGGTTCCCCTCACTTCCAGGAATCCACGCTTCCTGGAAGGTGAGTGGCTGGGCTCACCCCTGCCTGCCACCGAGACGCAGACATGCACACACCACCCGCACTCCCTCGCCGTTTCCAAGGCGGCGGCCGCGTTCGCACCCCAGGGTCTCACCGGCAAGGGAAGGATAATGTAAGTTCAGGCAGAAGGCGGCTAGCGGAGGGGGGAGGGCGGTGATGGGGCTAGGGGGCCAATTCAGTAACAACTCCCAAGCCTGAGGAGAGGGGAAGGATGGGGGCTGTGTGTGTGTGTAGCGGGGGAGGGGGCGTTCCTCCTTACACTTGGGGAGGATGGGAAAGGGTGTTTGGTGTTGCTAAGCGAAGACGGTGACTTGGACAGTGGGAGCTTGTGGTGACATCTTGATTAGGCCTTGGGGACAGAGGTAGAGCAGCCAGGGGTGGAATGCCGAAACAGGCCTGGGTGGGAATGGACAGCAGAAAGACTTGAGGTGAGGGAGAGGAGCTTTGACAGCAGATGCTCCATCCTGGAACAGAGGTGTGAGGGGCCTCAGCCTCCTGCCCACAATAGAGCCAGGGATGGCTATCTTTCTTCGCTCATGCACTCACTGGTCCCTGACAGCAGGCTAGCATTCTGGAGCCCATGGTCAAGAAGAGAAAGCAAGAGGATGAGGTCCCTTGCAGGGAAGTGCAGAGGTCTGCCGAGCTCCGGGCTATTCCCCAGAGGCAGCCACTCAAGGGATGCAGGAGAGGGCTGGTCTCCTTCAGCTTGTGAGATGCTTCTAGCTGGTGTGCCGCTTCCCGATCCCTTCCCTCCCGCCTTTCTGCCCTTTATCCACCTCTTAGTTGTTCTGTTGTGAACCTTACAGGTTTGGCTTCGCTCCCTGGGGGCTCAGCCAATCCATGATGGCTTTCTGATGCCCGAGAGCAACCTTCATTCTTGGCTTTGACAGTCTGAGATTTCTTGGAAGTCCCAGGCATTTGAAATTCCCTCACTTGGGGTTTCTGGGGCTGAGAGGGGAACCTATGAGTTTCTCAAATCTGACTTTTGTCCCTGTCACCCTCAGGCTAGAAATCTACATCCCTGGAGCCCCACAAAGACCTCCTGGCCTTCAACACAGGCTCCTTCTTAGATTTTAGTGCTGTGAACGTCGACTTGAGTCTGTTTTCCCTGTTCCCTTTATCCTAGGGATGACAACAGCATCACAGAGCCTAGTCCATTACCCGTGCTCTTCGAGGCTCCCGATTTCTCTCCTGTTTCCAGCCCTCCACTGGGAGAGCCACAGAGAATGCTTTCCCCTTAGTGTCCCTCTGGATCCCTTTAAGAATACTGTCCCCCAGCTAGCTAGCCCCTGGTCTCAGAGGCAGCCCCAGCTCCAAGAAGCTGAGACTAAGTATGGGTTTCCAAGAAGCTCGCCCATCATTGTAGGATCGAGGTTTTAGCAGGTCCCTCCTTACTTTCACTGAGCGATTTGGGACAGGCCAGCACTAACTTTCCAAAGAATAAGGAGTGGGGTGTGGCTCACGCCTGTAATCCCAGCGCTTGGGAGGCTGAGGCAGGAGGATTGTGAGTTTACTTAGCCTCTGTCAGCCTGTCTAACCTTCTAACCTCAGTAAACTCAGTTGAAAGGGCATGTGGTAAAACCGGGCCTGAATCTACAAGCCTTGATGGTTGGGGCTGCTCACAGCAGGGTTTGTGTGCAGCGCTGACTTCAGGCAACTTTTTCAGAGAACCATTACGCTCCTCAGGAGGCTCAGCTGGGGAAAATCGGATTGGAGCCCTTAGGCTTTCCCCATAGCTGGTGATCAGGGTCCCTCAGGCTTCCATGGGATACACTGGGGAGTGGGACATCCTTTAGGAAAGGATGTGAAGGGGAAATGGTCCCAAAGTCCTGAGTGGTTGTTTTCTTCCCACTGACCAAAGCTGGAGAGGGATCCCTCAGGAGGGTGTGTTCCGGATTTCTTGCCTCAGGCCCAGGACTCCAACCATTTTATAATGGAATCTTTATTTTGTGAAAGTAAGTATGTGCACAGCTGGGGAAGCGGGTAGAACGCTAACCTAGGCAGACTTCAGGGATGAATTTTAGGCTCTCTCTCTCTTCCTCTCTCTCTTCCTCTCTTTTCCATGTTTAGGCCTTCTGTGCATATACTCATGCATGTTCATGTTAGCAGATAATATAGATGGCTGTGACATTTACCCAGTAGGTATGTTCTCTATATGTGTATCTACATATGTAGTCTGTGTTTGTTGTGTTTATCGACATGTGTGTTTTTACTTCACTCATATGTTTGTGCAGAAAATTGTGGGGAGGGGGGATTTTTTTCTTTTTTGAAAGACTCATGTTTTTCAGGCATGTCATCAGATTAAAAAAAAAACATGATTTCAAAAAGCATTTTCACAAAGTATTTGGTCAACAGGTTGAAATGAATGCATTTAGCCCTCAAACAGTAAATATGGGGTTGGCTGAATTTAGAGAGCCTGATAAGCCCACCTGGCCAAGCGGTGGCCAAGGGCTCAGCATTATGGTCGTGTGGCCCCTACCCCAGCTCAGCCACCACCAGTTTAGATAAGTAACACAAGCTTCTTCTGTGTCTCCAAATCCAAAAAATTAAAGTAATACTGCAGTACCTGTTGTGTAAGATGGTTGCAAAGCTTACAGGGGAAAAAGTGCATCCCAAGCACACAGACTAATAACGCCTGGTACAGGTTACATATTAGCTGCTATCATTATTGTTAACAAATGTTAGCATCAGGTTCTGGGCAGTTCTAGGTGCCCTCCGCGCAGATTCCAAAGCCACTCCGGGAGCTCCAGAAGAAAGTAGTAGGAAAGAATGTCCCTGTTCTCTGTTCTACCCTGGCCCGCCCAGCCCTGGTCCTGCTTCCTGCAGAGTTAGGCAGTGGGTGATGCTCTTCCCCTCGGGCACAGATAAAGACAGGGTAGGCCAGACTCTGCTGCTGACTTCACGGAAGTCAAGGTCCGCACTGAGCGCCAGGCCTCTGGGGTACAAGGTAGGGTACTTACATTCAGCCTCCCTGGTACATGACTGTAGGATCAATGCTTGTGAAATTTAACTCAAGTTTTTTGTTTTTTCTGAAGATTAGGTAGTGAACCGTAGAGGCTCCAGGCCAAGCTTTACCTGCGATCTGTTCTCTCCTCCAAGGTAGCGGGGACTCATCTCTGGAGAAGGAGTTCCTCGGGGCCCCGGTGGGGCCCTCGGTGAGCACCCCAAATAGCCAGCACTCTTCGCCCAGCCGCTCCCTCAGTGGTAAGTGTGAGCCATCTCCGGCACTAGGCAGCCCCTTTTTGTTTGTTCTCAGTTTGCCTTCTGCTGGCTACTCTTTCCCCATGCCTCCTGCCGATTTCCTGCTCACAGACTCTCAAGGCCTTGAGGTGTTCCAGCCCTCTCCTAGAGTAAATAGCTCATGACAGACTGGGGTAAAATTAAAAGGTGTAGGTGTGACATTAAGATAAAGGTTCCAGTAGGGCACGGTGGTGCACACCTTCAATCCCAGCGCTCGGGAGGCAGAGGCAGGCGGATCTCAGGGAGTTCAAGGCCATCCTGGTCTACAAAATGAGTTCCAGCACACAAAATCTGCACAGAAAAAAAAAAAAAAAAAAAAAAAAAAAACCGGTTCGGGGAGGAGGAGGGATAAAGAAATTTTTCCAAAGAAAAATTCTGGAATTGGAGACAGAAATGATCCTTGGGTAGGGAGAGGCAGCAAATGAACAGTCAGAAGACAAGACGTCATCCCCTGCCATCTCACGTCTCCTGCCAGGCAGGGTCCTCCTGAATGCCCCTCCCCAGTTGGCCCTAGATCTGTGACATCCTCTACATGGTTGAAATAGCCAGGAATGTAGGTCAGAGCTAGTGCCAAAGCTCCTCCCCTGTGTCCCCTCAGGTTCCGTGGAAGAGGCATTGGGGGGGGGGGTTCAGTCTTGTCGGGGAGAATAGCCACACCTGTCTTACAGTTCTACTCTGCTTTTAGCCTATTGTCCCCTTCAGTCTCCCCGGGCTGTTTCCCGCCACTGTTTCTACTGGCTTCCTGAGAGGCCAACCCAGACATCTTTGTATCTTTCTTTTTCTGTTTCGTTTTTTTCAGACAGGGTCTTGCTCTGTAGCCCTTACTGACCTGGAACTCGCTCTGTAGACCAGGCTGGCCTTAAACTCACAGAGACCCACCTGGCTCTGCCTCCCGAGTGCTGGGGTTAAAGGCGTACGACCAGCACCCAACCAAACATCTTTCTTAATGACAAGAGAGTGCAAACAGCCTTCTTAGTCACCTCTTCTGCCTGATGACAGAAGAGATGCTGTGCTTTCTATTTTTTTTTTTTTTTTCTTTTTCTTTTAAACTCTATTTGCCTGGTGGGTGGTAGGTGAAGACTGTTTTCAGTCCAGATGAGTTCTGGAACGACATCTACAGTAGTAAATCAGCTACTGCCCCTCCTGACACTCTGCCTCAGGGTTTGCAGTCACCCTGTTGGGGTGTCACTCTGTCCTGGGAGTGGTTGTCCCTCTGCCTGTCTCTGTTCTAAACATCAGTCCCCTGACCCCCAGCCAACTCCATCAAGGTGGAGATGTACAGTGATGAGGAGTCCAGCAGACTGCTGGGGCCAGACGAACGGCTCCTGGACAAGGACGACAGTGTCATTGTGGAGGATTCATTGTCAGAGCCCTTGGGCTACTGCGATGGAAGTGGACCAGAACCTCACTCCCCTGGTGGCATCCGGCTACCCAACGGCAAGCTCAAGTGTGACGTCTGTGGCATGGTCTGTATCGGACCCAATGTGCTCATGGTACACAAGCGTAGCCACACGGGTGAGTAAGTGGAAAGGCTTTAATGGAAGAGCTCTGGGTGAGGCCGGGGTGCAAGGCGGAGGTGTGCTAGCGGACATTGGTAGGGAGGAGGCTGAAGAGACCTGAGGCGGAGGGGAGAGGGGTGCTCAGAAAGGGAAGGGTCCATCGGAGCATGTTTTCTAGGTGAGAGAAAGGGATATGAGCCCCTCAGAACATCTGTCCCTTTGAGGCCCTTTTTTCCAGCTGTTGTGACAAAGAAAAGCTACTACTCCTTTTCTCAGGGCGTAGAGAGAGTGGGTGTCAGGGTCTCTAGAAGGATTCTCGAAGATTCTGTATAGATCAGTGTGTTTGTGGGGGGGGTGCATGTGTAAGGCCTTGTGGTAGTTCTTAACACCAAAAAATGTTTGCAGAAGTCAGAGAGAGCTGCCGATAGTCAGTCCAAGAGGGACGGAATTCTAGGGCCTTCTCATCTTATAATTTAAAAGGGGGTATAGGAGGAGACCCTCTGCTTACCTCCTCTGACTGAGCTCCCTGGATAGACTGGGATCTGAGCTGAAGTGTTTAACTAATTACTCTTTATCCATATAAGATAGGGGTCAGATACTAGGGTAAGAACCTGAATGGTCAGAGAAGCTGTGGGGAAGCCATCAGTCACCTCCTACCAATGTCTGACTCCTAATCTTTTATGGATAGAGAAAAATTAGGTAAATACTACACGGAGATATTTTGGGTAATAATTTTTTGGCAGGTCTTCTAGGCACTGTACAGGTTTCGGGTCACAAACCTCTAGTCCATACCTTTCCAGGGCAAGAGGGCTCCCAGGTGACCTCCATAAAGTAGGCCTGGTATGTGTGGCACTCACTGCCAGTCCAGAGTGTTCTCAGAGAACTTTCCCCTAGCCCTTCAACATACCTCACACCACTCTTTCCGGAACCTGTTCTCCACCTGCAGGGGAAAGGCCCTTCCACTGCAATCAGTGCGGAGCCTCCTTCACGCAGAAGGGGAACCTGCTTCGCCACATCAAGCTGCACTCTGGGGAGAAACCCTTCAAATGCCCCTTCTGCAACTACGCCTGCCGTAGACGCGACGCCCTCACCGGCCACCTCCGCACCCACTCAGGTCAGTGACTATCCAGAAAGAGCAGAGAGAGCGAGCGGCACCCAGAATGCTCAGAAAAGAGCTTCAAGACTTCTCCACACTGGAGAGGGACAAGGTCCTTGAGGAGTGGGAGCGCTCATGGGGAGCATTCAGGGCAGATAGGGCCCTTGCTTGCTGATTCCTGAGGAAATTGTTGAGCTCCTCACGGGGGTATTTTACTGCCACATTCTGTGACACGAAGCAAACGGAGCATGACTAACGTTCCTGGCTTGTCCCCAACCGTTGTTTTCTTTTTCTTTTTTTAAAGATTTATTTTGTTTTTTATGTGCATTGGCATTTTGCCTGTGTGTGTGTGTGTGTGTGTGTGTCTGTATAAGGATGCCAGGTCCCCTAGAACTGGAGTTGCAGACAGCTGTGAGCAGCCATATGGGTGCTGGGAATTGAACCTGGGTCCTCTAGAATAACAGCCAGTGCTTTTAACTCCTGAGCCATCTCTCCAGCCGCCCCCAACCTTTGTTTCCTAAACATTTTAATGATGCCAACATCGACTACACCTGTCACCATCTCTACCCCATTCCCACTTTCAAGATACCAGAGGTCTTGGGCAATCACTGCATGCCCCGCCCTCCACCTGCTATAAATGTCTACACGACTCCCGGACTGGAAGGGAAAGACTGTCCCAGTTCTACCGTGCATCCCACGAAGTGGTGATTTTCTCATAGAGGAAAGCAAATCCAGAGAGTACCCAGGGTCCCCTCCCAGAGAGGCAGGGCCAGGAAGGTCAGGTATTCAGTCAGCTTGCACTCTGCGCTCTGTGAGACCGTCTCAAAATAATGAAACAAACAAAAGACTGAATTAGGATGAAGGAACTGGAGAAACAGGGTTTTCTAGGTGTTTCACTAAAGCTTTGGACTTTTGGCTGGACTGAGCGGGCAAGGAGAGGGGAGTTGAGGGTTGAGAAGAGAAAAGAGGAGAATTAACTGCCTGACCTCAGAATCTTTCCTGGGCTTTTCTCTTTTTCTAAGAGAAGGACTTACAGGGACCGAGAGGCACTGCAGTAACTTCTGCCTCTTCCATCCTGCCTTGGTCCAGATTCTCTCGTGTAACGGGACCTCTTTGTCTCTCTCTGTATGGGGAGAAAGCAGTGTGACAATTATCACTAACTGATGCCCTGTAATCTACAGAGAAATGTTCTTGTGCCTCCTTACATGATCGTCATAAGCTGGGGAGTGAGAAAAAAAATTCCAGATGAAAATGCCCCACCCCCGCACTCCACTTGTTAAGACAGGGTCTCATGTGTCCCGAGCTGACCTCAAGCTCCCTGTGTAGCCGGACTCTACCTCTCAACTTCTAGGACTGCAGGGGCAAACCCAGCTCGTGCTTGTGAGATGGAACCTCAGGCTTCCCACATGCTAGGCAAATACACTACCAACTGCGGCTAAGGCTCCAGCCCCAACCCTCTCCCCGCCCCCATTTGTTTGACAAGACAAGGCCACTGATCTATGGGGAAGGAAATAAATGTTATGGGTGATAGCCTAGTCTGTTCCCATCAAGATCCCATGGCCAAAACATATGGTCCTTTTTCTCAGAGTCTCACTCTGTAACTCTGGCTAGCCTAGAACTTGCCATGTAGACCAGGCTAGCTTCCAAACCACCACAGAGATCCAATTATATCTGCCTCCCAAGTGCTGGGATTACAGATATGTACTACCATGCCCTGCAGTCCCCCAAATTCTTGACACAATCTACAGAATAGATTTTTGAATGTTGTTCCATGGGAGATTAAGGGGGAAATTAGACATATGTGTAGGTCCCATCTCTGTGAGATGCTTCCTGTTACAAATCACACTGTAAGAGACAAGGGTTAAAGGACGTTCCTCTCCTGATGTGTTAAACCATTTCCCAGAGGGCCTTGGGTGGAGAGAACCCTGATACTCACCTCATCCCTTTAGCACTTAGTTTACAGATGAAGAGCGACATGGCAAAGCTTGATTTAGTCGTAGCCGCGCGTGGATGTATGTGGGGGTGAATAATAGTCACCAGTTTCCTAGCAATGCCTTCTCCCGCCTCCCTGCTCAATAATAGCAATAAACACAAATATGCGGTACCTTGTTCCTCTTCGGGTCCCCCCCCCCATGAAGGGTTACCTCCCAAGAGTTGTGTTTAAACAAAGCTACCAGTTTCTGTTTTCCATTTTTTTCCCCCTCAGAGCTTTAAAACACTTTTTAATTTTTTGTTTTGTTTCTTTTTTGAGACAGGGTTTCTCTGTGTTGCTTTGGAGCCTGTCCTGGAACTAGCTAGCCCTTGTAGACCAGGCTGGCCTCGAACCGACAGAGATCCGCCTGCCTCTGCTTCCCGAGTGCTGGGATCAAAGGCGTGTGCCAACACCACCCAGCTATAACACATTCTTTTTAAGACAAAAAAAAAAAAAAAAAAAAAAATTACAAAACACAGTTGTTCTCTTTCTTTTAGTCTTCCTCCATCCTGTCTGTTCTGTTGCTCTTTGTCTCTTTCTCCTCAGTGTTGGGGTCTCTGGGGGCTCCCTTGGTATCTCAGTACAATGACCAAAAGAGAGAGAGAGAGAGAGAGAGAGAGAGAGAGAGAGAGAGAAGGATCAGTGCAGCCAGACAGGGGATGGAGGTTAAAAACAAAACAACAAGTAAAGGGCAATGACTGCCCCTCCGGCAGGGCGGATCTAAGGGCTCTCATCTCTGTGTTGCCTCAGCCCAGTTTCCCTCCAGCCCAAGCAGAGCGTTCGCAAGCAAAAAGTCCCCGCGTCTGCAGCTGCCTGCAACATGGAAAGGTTAAACCGCAGTCTGAGCCCCAGACTCTTGAGATCATGGGGTGGGGCCTGGTGTGCCTACCAGGGACGATCCCCTACTAAGTCCCCAGGTCTTTACTTCCTTTCAGAAGCAGCCAGAGCATCTAGACTCCCACTACCAGTGTAAAGCTGTGTGCCACACACCCCCCCTTTAGCTGTCCATTGCCACTCAAACGTTGTTCTAAGTGGAGTCGGGGCAAGGGATGGCCAGCCCCCTACCTCCCACCCAGAACATAAAAAGCTAGCATGGTCTGTGCAGTGTGCCGTTGCTCCTGGAGGTGGGGCGCTTCAGAGCCAGGGACAGGGAGCAGTCACTTTCACGTTGCCTCTGCTCTGTCCTCCACAGTCTCTTCTCCCACAGTGGGCAAACCCTACAAATGCAACTGCTGTGGCCGGAGCTACAAACAGCAGAGCACCTTGGAGGAGCACAAGGAGCGTTGTCACAACTACCTACAAGGTCTCAACACTGAAGCCCAAGCTTTGACTGGCCAGCCAGGTGGGGCTGTGGGCAGGACCATGGGGGAGCTGAGGGCAGGGATGGGAATTCAGGCAAGGGTGATTCTAGCACCTCAGTAAAGACGGGGTCCACTCCGTAAACCTCCCAAGCATCCCGGGAATGTCCAGCGCGGCTCTGGGGCAGGTCTGTGATGGGTAGTCATTCGTAGAAGAAACCTGGATCCATTTCTTCAGGCCAAGGGAGAGAGAGACAGCACAAAGAATAGAAAGTCAGCGGTAGGTGTATATAGTTGTCCTCAAATGGTACAAGTGTTCCTAGAATGAGCTTTAGGTCGGGTAAAGAGCCCACAGTGACACACGCCGCCTTTAATCCCAGCATTTAGAACACAGAGGCAGGTGATCTCTGTGAGTTAAAGGTCAACCTGGTCTACATAGTGAGTTCAAGGCCAGCCAGGGCTGCATAGTGAGATCCTGTCACGAGAGAGAGAGAGAGAGAGAGAGAGAGAGAGAGAGAGAGAGAGAGAGAGAGAGAGGAAAGAAAAAAAGAAAGCCAGGCCAGTTTCCTAGGTATGACCTTCCTTGACTACTGACTAGCCAGCTTTCTCCCGGCAAAGGCTGCTGGGCCAGTACCACTCATAGCCAGCTGCTGCCACCTGTCCCCCCCCCCCCAGGTGATGAAATGCGTGACCTGGAGATGGTGCCTGACTCAATGCTGCACTCATCATCTGAGCGGCCAACTTTCATTGACCGCTTGACCAACAGCCTCACCAAACGCAAGCGTTCCACCCCGCAGAAGTTCGTGGGTAAGAGTCCTTTAAGCCGTAGCCCCAGCCTGTCACAGCCCTGATTGCCGTGAGACCAGAGACCTTGAGTCTGGTGGTTTGATTTAGGAGGGGGCGGCCTAGCGGTCTCTGTGTTGCTCAGAATGTCCCCTCAGGCAGGAGTGTATGGAGAGGGACAACACACTTCAAGAAACGTGGGGGCTATAGCTCAGTCTGTGAAGTGCTTGCCTTGCAATATGAGAACTGGAGTCTTTATCCCCAGAACCTACATAAGAAGGACAGGCGTGGTGGCATGTGTTTATAATCCCAGCCCTGGGGAGGCAGAGGCAGAAGGGTGGCCAGGCTGGCTAGCCTAATTGGTGACCTCCAGGCCAACAGTCCTGTTTCAAAGAAGGTGGACAGTGTTCCTGAGGATAACACCCAAGGTTGTCCTCCGACCCTCACATACATGTACACACATGTATGCATGCACCAGCACAGAGATGAATATGCACACATACACTCACACAAAAATCATGTAAAAGAGAGAGGAGAGTGGCCCATATTGAGGACTCTTGCGGGCTCGAGGTTTCCCATCTTTTGAGAATAACAAGGATCGTTCTGTGCAGGCCAGTCTTAGAGAGGGAGGGGAGTGAACATGTGGTTGCCTGACAGCCAATAGCATTATCTCTCTGAGGATCTGAAACTTTATGGAGAATAATGACCATGGAATTTCATAGAGGCGTGTGGTGACATTTATGATTCATTAAAGCTTGCCTGAGGGTTTAGAAAGCAAAGCCAGCCACAAGCCATAGAGGTCAGGCAATGGTAATATACCCCTTTAATCCCAGGACTCAAGAGACAAGCAGGTGGCTCTCTGTGAGTTCACGGCCACACTGAGCTAAGTGAAATTGGCCCGGTCCTAAAGAGAAACAGCTCACACAAAGGTGATCTCAGCACTTGGGATCACACGCCTTCAATCTCAGGATTTGAGAGGTAGAAAGGGAAGAGGCATCAGTCTGGGGTTGCAGTCTGAGGCTTGGTGGAGACAGGATTGCAGGCTGAGGCTTGGTGGGGAGATTTATTCTCCAGCCATGCCAAGGAGAGGACAACCCTTTCAGCCTGAGCTAGAGGTAAAAGCTAGTGTCCAGCTGCTTCGCTTATCCGACTCTCAGCCTGAACCCCAATATCTGTCTCTGGGTTTTTATTTTTCGTGCTACAGAGATGCGTTGCCCTAAGACTATATATAACCTGCCTTGGACCTGGCCCTCTGGGAAGTAAATGAGGTTTATTAAATGATGTTACCTGGGACTATGGATGTATACATATATATTAATGGTAGAATTGTGTGCTTCGCGTCTGTGAAGCCCTGGGTTGGGTCCCCAAAACTAATTAATAACGATGATAACGATGCTGTCATATTGAGGCCCCTCCTGCTCAGAAAAACAAGGAAGTAATTCTGGATGTAGTTTCGGGCTTCTTGGAACCCAGTTCTATGAGGTCTGACTCTCCCCCCACAGGTGAAAAGCAGATGCGCTTCAGCCTCTCGGACCTCCCGTACGATGTGAACCCCGGCGGTGGCTATGAAAAGGATGTGGAGTTGGTGGCGCACCACGGCCTGGAGCCCGGTTTTGGAGGTTCTCTAGCCTTTGTGGGCACAGAGCATCTGCGCCCCCTCCGCCTCCCACCCACCAACTGCATCTCGGAACTCACACCTGTCATCAGCTCTGTGTACACCCAGATGCAGCCCCTTCCCAGCCGACTGGAGCTTCCGGGCTCCCGAGAAGCAGGTGAGGGACCCGAGGACCTGGGAGATGGAGGTCCCCTTCTCTATCGGGCCCGAGGCTCTCTCACTGACCCCGGGGCCTCCCCCAGCAATGGGTGTCAGGACTCCACAGACACAGAGAGCAACCACGAAGATCGGATTGGCGGGGTGGTATCCCTCCCTCAGGGTCCCCCACCTCAACCTCCTCCCACCATCATGGTGGGCCGGCACAGTCCCGCCTATGCCAAAGAGGACCCCAAGCCACAGGAGGGGTTATTGCGGGTCACCCCAGGCCCCTCCAAGGAAGTGCTCCGGGTGGTGGGTGAGGGGGGCGAGCCGGTGAAGGCCTTTAAGTGTGAACACTGCCGCATCCTCTTCCTGGACCATGTCATGTTCACCATCCACATGGGCTGCCACGGCTTCAGGGACCCCTTCGAGTGTAACATCTGTGGTTATCACAGCCAGGACCGGTACGAGTTCTCTTCCCACATTGTCCGCGGGGAGCATAAGGTGGGCTAGCGGCCCCTCTCTCCTCGCCTGTCCTCAGCCCAGCGCTCCACCTACAGGTGTCTAACCCAAACCCCAATACACCCCAAGGAGTTTTGCATTGTAGACCCCATCCACTGGCCACCTCGCTTCACACTGGGCTCTGACCCTCTTCGCCCGTCCGTCCGTCCGTCCGTCCGCTTCCTTCTACCCTGACTTATGTAAGCGCTGGGACTGATGTAAGCACTGCTTACATCTCTCGTCCTAAAGCTCTCTTTTCCCAGCACATTTGCTGTATACTAATGACTTTCCCTTGGCCTTTTTACATTGGCCGACATCTCTGGCCACCCCTCCACTCTCCTGCCCATGGCTCCTTTCCTCTCTAAGCCTAGATTTTTTTTTCCCCCTTCCCTGTGGATCCCACACCCTCTAACAGCCCCAGGGGCCAGAAGCGCCTCCTCTTTGTAGACACTGAGCCTCTCGCTTTTATGTCTCACCTTTATTTATCTGATTCTTCACTTTTGATGCTGATACCTCCCAATGGCCCCACCTGAGCTCTGTGGCATTATTATCTCCTCTCTGGGACCCTTCAACCTGGTACTCCATACCTCTCATGCCCTCTCACTTTAGGCAGCTTGCACTATCTTAAATGAATGAAGAAATTCCTCGTTGCAAGTAGGAGGGGGCTGTAGGAACTGTCCCCAGGACCTGTGGGCTGAGGGTCCTCCTGACCTCACTGGGAATACAAGCCCCCTAAGGCCTCCGTTCAGGATCTCCCTCCAGGATGCTTTTCCCTCTCCCTGGTTCACCCCTCAACGCCCTGCCACTCCCTCGGTGGTGGTTTCTCTCTTCCTGGACTGCCCCCCATCTTATATTCTCAGGGGCTGAAGCTAGGCCTGTAGCCTTGTCTGGCACACCCAGAGCTGCAGGCGTCTAGCCGAGAACCAGGGCACGGGAAAGGGGGTGGGTAGAAATCTCTCCTCCTCCACCTTTCAAACTTTTTTCACTCCAGTGACCTTCCTAGGCTCTCAGGGACTCCTCCTGTCCCCGAACCACGAGAAACTGGCGGGTTGCTGCCCAATGACCAGGGGCATATCAGTCCCATCGGTCACGCTGCCTTCCCCCTCCCTTCCAGCAGGATCCACCGTCTCATTCCCGGGCTCCCGGGCCCTGTGATTATCAGTGGCAGGGAGACAGGAATGTCTCTTTTCTCTCCGCTAATTTTCAGTATAACCAAAAATTGTCCCAGGATGAATGACATGTATCATGTATGTGCCCGTCGACCATTCCACCCTTGTCCCAGCGAGACTGGGATGGACGCGACTGACTGGGAGTCACCCCTCACTGGCTTTGCATACTTGCCCCAGAACACAGGGCAGGAGGGTGCGTCCTTCTCTGGTGGTTGCAGAGACCCTGGCTATTTGGATAATCTAGTATTTGCGCGGGAGACTATGCAGGAGAAGGCATAGTCCCGCCGCATGTGGAGGTCTCTCTCTCTATAAAGCGTTCCCGGCCAAGGCCACAGTCGCCCCACTCTGCTTCTCTGAGATTCAAACCAAAGGCTGTTTTTCTATGTTTAAAGAAAATAAGGAAAAAAAAAAAGTAGAAACCAAACACAGCACCTCATAAGTTACAAGTGTTGGTCTTCTCTCTTCCTTTCCTTTTCCTTCCATCTCCACAGGCCCTTTCTTTGTTGGCTCTCTTGCCTCTCTGGTCCTCACTCCCTGTTAGGGATTTCGAGAGGCATGAAAGGGTGGGCTGGCTCAGATCCTGGGACTGGGGCTGTTAAGCCTTCTGGGGAGTCTGCTTTCCCCTCTCACGAGAAGGGCAGGGCCAGAACACTTTCTTCTCCTCCTTCTCCTGCATTACGTGGCTTCCCAGAAGGACGGCATTGGCAGGGAGGAGCTCTGTGGGTTGGTTCCTCCTCCTTGACGATGGATGGAGCAACACACAGGTGCTGTCAAGGGTGGAGAATGGGGTACGGGCTCCCGAGGGAGCAGTCCCAAGAGAAGGGAAGGGTCTTGGAGACAGAACTAACTCCTAGGGAAGGCAGCGGAGCTGAGGTTAGTGTGTATGCTCCTCCTGAGCTACTCTGGCTACCTACCGAGCCTCGTCTGGGCCTGCCACGTCTCTGGCATACCTGAGAAGGACCAGCTCCTCTGAGCCTTTGAGTGTCCCATGTCTCCCTTCCTTTAGTCAGCCTTAGCACCTGTAAACCCCCCCCCAGAACCCGAAGGACTATGCTCGGAGGCTATCCTACGTGCCCACAAGAGCACAGATGGAGGAAGGACAAGACCAGGTGCTAGGGTGGAGAGGCGTCCTGTCTCCCTCCAGCCCATCACTGCACTTTAACCAGGGTCTTAGGTACAAAATCCTACTCTTCAGAGACCTCCAGCTCTGGAACCTCAAACATCCTCACACTCTCTCCCAGCTCCTTTTGCATAAAAAATAAAATAAGTAAAGAAAAAGAAGAAAACTCAACAACGACAAAGCAAAACACCAAAACCCATACAGAGAAAAGAGGTGTTTTCTTTTTTATTACTATTTAAAGACAACACCACAAAAACCAGTAGGGGGAAGGGAGAGATTTTTTAAATAGACACTTTTCCAGACCTTTGTGTATGTGTGTGTCAGTGTCCAAGCTGCAGGTGGAATTTTGTAATACTTCTGGCAGCTTCTTTCCTTGTGTAAATAATATATATATATATATATTTTTAATCAGAAATTATGAAGATCAAAAATAAAATAAACACAGAAGCAAGTGCAATATCACCTCTCCTCCTCCCCCAGGGTTTCTTTGTAGCCTGTTTGGTGTCCCTTTTGACCTTTGCCCCTTCACCTCTTTTCTTGTCCTCTGGCTCCTAACCTACCCCTCCCTTCCCTCTTTTTAATGAGTTTTTCTCCTTCCTCAAACGGAGTTAAACCAGCTTTTGAGACTTCCTGCAAAGCGTTTTGTATATGTAACATACTGTAAGTAAATATTTGTGTAATGGAGAAATACTACTGTAAGTTTTGTACTGTACTGGCTGAAGGTCTGTTATAAATAAACATGAGTAATTTAACAGCCCTGTCTGTTCTGGGAGACTTTCTTTGTCTTCTTTTCCTTCTGGGAGGGAGGCAGACCTCATCCCACTATTTCTCTGTTCAAAACGTAGACAAGTCTAAGACTCAGGGGGAACCAGACAAGACCATGGACATTGCTGGTCTAGCAGAGCAGGGATTTTTTGTTTTGTTTTGTTTTTTTTTTTTTCTTTTTTCCCCTGAGACAGGGTTTCTCTGTGTAGCCCTGGCTGTCCTGGAACTCACTCTGCAGACCAGACTGTCCTTGAACTCAGGCTCCAAAGCCACAGAGAAACCCTGTCTCAAAAAACAAGCCAAAACACCCCCCCCAAAAAAAGTCATAGACTCTCCTCAAATTCGCACCAGTTCCACTTCACTGGCACTGAGTAATTACCTGGGTTTGCTGAGCAGTTCTCAAGGCCAACGAGAGTTGTTGGTTACCGTCAAGGGGTGCATGCCAGCCCCTTCTGCAGCCTTGAGGTTATGGTACCAGGTGCGTCGTTGATGTGGTTCGTGGGTATCAGAGCTTGGTGGGAGGGTTGGTTGACTCCCTCCTTTGGAAACTTGCACGGTGCCTTCTTGTAGCATGAAATCTAGTCCTGGGAGAGGAAACATTCAGGTCCGTTTCAATTCAGGGGTCTCTTGGGCCTGTTTCCTCCATCTCTGAGGGATTACTAAGGGCCATGGGAATAGGCTGTAAGTTTGGAGAGTCTTTTGGACAGCCCCATCCAACAGTTCAAAAGAGGGTTTCTCTTTTTGTTATGGTTTGGTACTGGGGCTTTTGTTAGATGGCCTTTGACTCTTGGAGGGAGCATGTAAAAGAAAACACGTGTGTGTATATTTATACAGGGAGTTGTGTGTGTTATAGGGTTTGGGGTAAACAGTTGATGGTATTATTCCTATGGCTTTTTCAGAAACCCTTATTGTTATTTGACCCATGTCCCTCCTCCTTCTGTATTTTCCTCCCTCCCCTCCCTCTTCCCATTTCCCCCCTCAGATCAAGCATATGCTCCTCTACGTTCCTCCCATTTTTTTCTGTATATACTTCCCTCCTCCTCCCTAAGAAGCCCCCCCCCCAATTTTTCCATTTCCTTGATAAGATTGCTTGTACTCTGCTACTCCCCTCCCTTCTCCCCAATCCCCCCCCTATCCTGGCAAGGATTCCATTTTACTTTCCTGATTTCTTCAGTTGCTCTAGGATATATACACACACTTGAAGATTTGGAGCTAGGAATTTTCTATGTGGGTTATCTCATTCAATATGGTCTTTTCTTCCTTCCTTCCTTCCTCTCTTCCTCCCTTCCTTCCTCCCTCCCTTCCTTCCTCCCTTCCTCCTTCCTTCCTCCTTCCTCCCTCCCTTCCTTTCTTCTATGGTTTTTCAAGTCAGGGTTTCTCTGTGTAACAGTCCTGGCTGTCCTGGAACTCACTTTGTAGATCAGGCTGACCTTGAACTCACTGTGATCCGCCTGCCTTTGCCTCCCAAGTGCTGGAATTAAAGGCCCACACCACCACCACCACAGGGCTCAATATGGTCTTTTCTAGGTCTATCCATTTACTGCAAAGTTCATGATCTCAATGTTTTTATTTTTTTTATTTTTTTGCTGGCTTGTTTGTTTTTTAATAGCTGAAAAGTATGAAACTTTTCATTATGTTTTCCTCAGTCACCGGACATTTAGATTGTTTCCATGTCCTGGCGGTTATGACTAGAGCAGCAGTGAGTGAGACTGAGTAAGTGTCTTCATCTTCCTCGGAGTAGGACATTGAGTCCTTTTGTCATGTGTCCAGGAATGGTATAGCTGGGTTATGTGGCAGATTTATTTTATCTTTTGAGAATTCTCCACACTGGTTTCCATAGTGACTGTACCAGTTTGCGATTCCACCAACAGTAAATGAGTCCTCCCAGTCCCCAGCATTTATCATCCGTTGTTCCATTGATCTTTGCTGACTGGGTAAGATAAAAATCTCAAAGTTGTTTTGATTTGATTTCCCTAATTGCTAGGGATTATGAACCACCCCACCCCCGAAGACAGGGTTTTTCAGTGTATCCCTAGCTGTTCTAGAACTCACTCCGTAGACCAGGCTGGCCTCGAACTCACAGAGATCCGCCTGTCTCTGCCTCCTGAGTGCTGGGATTAAAGGCGTGCTCCACCTCTACCAGGCTTGAGCTTTTTGTTTTTAAGAGATGTTTCTCAGGAGTTGGAGAGATGGCTCAGTAATTAAGAGCACCGTTTGCTGTCCCAGAGGACCCAGGTTCAAATCCCAGCACCCTCAAGGCAGCTCACAACTGTCTGTAACTCCAAGATCTGCCAGCCTCAGACAGACAGACAGACATGCAGGCAAAACACCAATAAAGTAAAAAAAAAAAAAAGATATTCCTGGGCCATTTTATTTTTTATTTTCTTTAATACTATTATTATTATTATTATTATTATTATTATTATTATTATTATTTTGAGAACTCTCTGTTCAGGTCCCAGGTCCAGTTTTCTGATGGGACATTGTTTATTTGGACTCCTTGTTTTATGAGTTCTTTATATAATCAGGATATTAAACCCCTATCAAATGTATAGCTGGAAAAGATTCTCTCCCACGCCATTGATCGATTGATTTCTGGTTGATTACTTCTTTAGTTATGAAGACGCTTCTTAGTTTCATCAAGTCCCACTCAAAAATATCTGTGGGACTGGACAGATAGCTCAGAGCTCTTGAGTACTTGTTAATCTTGCACAAGACCCAGCACTCACAGGGAGGTTCACAGCTATCTGTAACTCAAGTCCCTGGGCAATCTTTCTGGGCACTCATGTAGTGTACATACATGCATTTGGGGAAAACACTTATACATGCAAAATGAAAAGATAATTAAAAATTGTGTGTGTTAGTATTCAGGCATCTGCACTGGCCTGCCCTCGGGGTTCTGACAGGATAGGCCTTCAGCTGCAGCCACCAAGCACCACCTGTGCACATTCACTATGTTCCCTTTTAAAAGGGCCCTGCCCGCCTCCCATCTCTCTTTGTCTCTTCCTCTATCTATTCGTTCTTTTCCCTTTCTCTCTGGTTCTCTGGCTATTTCTCTATCGTCATCACCCCCTTCTCTTTTCTCTTCTACTGTTCCTGCCCCCCAGAGGCTGTCTCCTACCTTCCCTCCCCCTTTTGCCATTCACTTTTCTCTAACAAAAAACCTCCATCCAAGCTCTGTCGAATGGCATCTTTCAGGTGCCGCTATTTGTTTGTTTATTTATTACGTGTATATAGTGTTCTGCCTGCATGTGCGCCTGCAGGCCAGAAGAGGGCACCAGATCTCATTACAGATGGCTGTGAGCCACCACGTGGTTGCAGGAAATTGAATCCAGTTCCTCTGGAAGAGCAGCCAGTGCTCTTAACCGCTGAGCCATCTCTCCAGCCCCTCCTATGCTGCTTTTTAAATCGCAACGGTGTACGCCACAGCGAGTGTGCGGAGGTCAGACGACAACTTTGAAAAGCCAGTTCAGCAGTCCATCTTGGTGAGATGCAGTCTCCTCCTGTTACTACCACACTGCTGCTCCAGAGGAGCTGAGCTGTCCTGTGAGCTTCTTGTCTCGGCTTTCCATCCTTCTTGTCTCGGCTTTCCATCCTCACGGAGCGGTGCTGGCATTACAGATGTGTGCCACAGCTCTTTACATGCGTTCTGCGGATTGAAACCCAGTCCTTAGGCTTGTAGAACTAACCCTTTTACCCTCCCAGCTATATGATTACCCTAGATTGCCTGTAATTCCACGATCAGCCTGGCGGTGGTGCTGCATGCACGCCTTTGATACCAGCACCCTGGAGGCAGAGGCAGGCAGCTGTCTGATTTCAAGGCCAGCCTGGTCTACAGAGCTAGTTCCAGGACAGCCAGAGCTGTTACACAGAGAAAATCTGTCTCGAAAAACCAAAGGGAAGGAAGGAAGGAAGGAAGGAAGGAAGAAAGGAAGGAAGGAAGGAAGGAAGGAAGGAAGGAAGGAAGGAAGGAAATTAATTCAAGATCACACTTGGCTACAAACTGAGTTCCAGGCCAGCCTAGATTAAATGACTATGTTTCAAAATAAAGTGAGAATAATTGTATCTACCTGGTAGACTTGCTCAGTTAAATTAGGTTGGTATTACAAAGTACTAAGTACATATCTCCCCTGGTCTAGGAGTGAAAGGGGGCTCAAGCCTGGAGTGGTGTCCTGCGTCTTCCTCCCAGCACTTTAATCCTAGAGGCAGAAGCAGGAAATCTCTGAGTTCAAGGCCAGCCTGATTTACAGAGCAAGTTCCAGGACAGCCAGGGCTACATATAAGAAACACTGTCTCCAGAAATAAATAAGGTGGTTTAAAACAAAAAGAAATAGTCCCACTAACAACGCATTTGTCTCATTAGAAGCTTTTATTAGGTTTCTTTTGTGTGTGTGTGTGTGTGTGTGTGTGTGTGTGTGTGTGTTTTTTTTTTTTTGAGACAGGGTGTCACTGTAGCTCTGACTACCCTGAAATTCTCTGTAGACCAGGCTGGCCTCGAACTCGCAGAAATCCGCTTGCTTCTGCCTCCCAAGTGCTGGGGTTAAAGGCGTGTGCCACCAACACCTGGCTGAAGCTTTTATTTGGCAGCATGGATGTACAAAATGGTTTATTTCTTCCCAGGTCTTCTCTTTCTTACTTCTACACACAGAACATACACACTTCAACGAAATGAAGCCACAGCGTCTCACGGTGGTGCAGCGCCGCCTTTAGTCCGGCTCCTCCAGGCCAGAGACCTCTCCGAGCCACACAACTCCCACAATGCATCTCTTTGGGCCTCTCGTAACAGGGAGTGTGCGTCCGGAGAGCGAATCCTAGGTAACTTCCGCTCTGGAGACAACGTAAACCGGATGTTATAGAGCCTAGAATCGCTTCCTGGTTCGTAGCGTATACCATTTTATCCTTCCGCCGGCAGGATAAATAGTCCCGCTGGTACTTTGCTCCATAGATAATCAGCAGCGACTTGCTTTAACCCTACACCTCAGCGTAAACTCTCAACAACTAGGTGAATTTGAGTGCAGTAGTTGCGAGGAGTAGTTAGAGTTACACATCTCTAATTTTTTTCTTCTCCCCCGGCGTGAGCGTAGGGATCCCGCACTATATAAGGGTGGCCGGCGGGGCGCCGGATCCTCTTTTCGGGTCTTGGCTCCAAGATGGTGAGTGTGGCCGCGTGGTGAGGGCGCGAGCCGGGCAGCGGGTGGCAGGCAGGGTCTCGGGCTGTAGGGGCCTGAGAACCGGGGCCTCGGAGGAGGAGGCGGCGGCCGGGTGCGCCCCGCAGCCCGGGCTGGAAGTCCGTGCGGCTCGCTGTGCCGCGGCTGCGGGCGGTGACCGGCCGGAGAGGGCGGACGCCGAGGAGGTGGCGCCGCTCGGTCCTAACGTGGGTGCCTTTCCGTCTCGGCCAGACCAAAAAAAGGAGGAACAACGGGCGTGCCAAGAAGGGCCGCGGCCACGTGCAGCCCATTCGCTGCACGAACTGCGCCCGGTGCGTGCCCAAGGACAAGGCCATTAAGAAGTTCGTCATCCGCAACATCGTGGAGGCCGCTGCCGTCAGGGACATATCCGAAGCAAGCGTCTTCGACGGTGAGTGTGCATGGCTGCCTATGGCACAGGGAACAGGCTTAATGTCGAGGTGTGAGCGTGGGGTGGTTTGTTAGCTTACGCTGAGGTTTGAGCTTGGGATTTTTTTTTTAAAGTACTCTAAGACTGGGTTGTAAACAAGACAGTGCGGGTAGTTTGTGATTTATTTTTCATTTTTTTTTGGCTGTCCAGGGACTTGCTCTGTAGATCAGGCTGGCCTTGAACTCAGACATCCATCAGCCTCTGCTTCCTGAGTGCTGGGATCAAAGGCGTGGGCTGTGTTTTAAGTGAGAATGGCAGGCATTGGACCTGGAAACAGTTGGATTCTTCCCCTCCCTGGCTTGAGCTTAACTGTGTCCCTTAGCCATTTGAATGGGGGCGTCTCCCAAGAGATGGGCTTTTATCTCGGTATATGTAGGCTGTGGGTTTGGTTTGCAGGTGGTATTCAGTAAAGCTGAGATGATGGTTCGATTCCTTTTGATTTATAGGGGAAGGGGGTTGATGTGGAGGGGACGGGGCATGTGTCTAAACCTCTTTTCTGTCTGTCAGCCTACGTACTTCCCAAGCTCTATGTAAAGCTGCACTACTGTGTGAGCTGTGCCATCCATAGCAAAGTAGTCAGGAATCGATCTCGAGAAGCCCGGAAGGACCGAACACCCCCGCCACGATTTAGACCTGCTGTAAGTAAATTCCGCTTTTTTTTTTTTTTTTTTTTCCTTGAGACACAGGGTCTTAACCAGGAAAGTGCCCACTTAACGTTTGAGTCTGGTACCAAAGTGTTTGCTTTTTCAGAGTTGGTAGATTGTTTCCACTGGAATAGTATGGTGTCTTAACCTAAATTTATTCATGGCTGAAACCATTGTTATTGGTGATATTCAGGGTTGTCTTCCTTGATTTTGTGTGTCTGTGATGCTAGGGACCAAATCTAGGTCCTTAAATTTGCTCTGTGGTTGAACTACACAGATGAAGTATGGGTGAGTTTGAATTTGTGTGTGTTATTTATTTTTTAACAAAAGTCTCAACTGTGGCTTTAGCTAACCCTGGACTCTTTTGCCTCTGGGGTACTGTACCTTGTTTTAATTTGGTTCCTCTTACGATTTTCAGGGTGCTGCGCCACGACCTCCTCCAAAACCCATGTAAAGAGATGGCTTCGTGAAGACAGAAGTAAAAAACACCTTGGAAAAATAAATGGGACTTATACTTTATGTAGCATTTGAGTGTGTCTGTGTCCGGTGTAAATTGTGTGCTAATTCATTTTCTATGTGTGCTTCTGGAGACAGTAAGGCAGGACAAACTTGGTGTTGGGCTCTGTACACCTTATTTTCTGAGGCAATCTCTTCAGGCTAGCCAGCTGGTAAGCTTCCGAGATCCTGTGCATGCTTGAGTCAGGCTCAACTTTTTTATGTGGGCCAAGGTTAAAGATGTGTTGTCGGCCATACATACCTACCTAAGTTGACCAGTTACATTTTTCTGAAAGATAAGCCAGTTGGTACCTTGGACTAAGTATGATTTGTAGATGTGTGGTCCAGGGACTAGTGTCACAGGGAAGGATGGTGTCGTGTTTCAAGGTCCTTGGTGTGATTGTATTTGCAAAAACTACTTGATGGCAAAGCTATTGATGGTGTCATCACCATGATAGGAAATACAAGCTAAGAGAATTCTAGGTTAGTTTACCCCTGTTAATAACATGGTTACCTCTTGTGTCTAGATTTGAGGTAAGGTCTCCTGCTGTCCTTGGCAGTTTTGGTGATTCCCTGCACCTTGAGGATCTTCACATTCTCAGAAACTTGTTCTTAATTGATAGGGAGAGCCCCTAACACATGAGGCTAAGGTATGGAGGGCAACTTGTAGTGGTCAGTTCTTTTCCACTGAGCCTGGCATCAATCTAAGCATCAGTTTTGGGAACAAAGTATCCTCAGTCTGTCCCAAGTAACTCAATGCAAAGTGTTTGTTTTTTCCTGAAGATATAATTAAGGGCTTGGCATTAATAATTAGTGAAACTGGATAGGTGGGTCAGTGTGCTTGTTACTTGGGTTATTTCCAAGGGTTCCAGTGCCGGTATTTGGCTTTGAATGTCAGAGGACAGGGTACTAGAAGATGACACCATGATTTATTAAAAGCACTGAATATTCCCAGAGTACCTGGCTCTTACTTCCTGGCTCATGGCAGTTCACAGCTATAACTGGTTCTGGGGAATCAATGGTCTTTAAAAATCCTTTGGAGCCAAGCGAGTGGGATGCACACTTGTAATCTCAACGCTTAGGGGGCAGAGACAGGTGGGTCTCGAGGCAGGCCTGGTGTACAGAGGGCAGCTAGGGCTGTTGAAGGTTTTGGTAACTCCCAATACCCAGTAATTTAAAGTCATCCTGGACTACAGAGCAAGATTTTGATTAAGCTTTGAAGCTACTCATTTCTTCAACCAAAGCCAGTTGTAAAACATCAATTGCCATCTCTAGGAAGGTCACCTACATACAGGCATCCACCTACTTGAAAAGGGAAAGTCATGCTATCAGAGAGGCCAACAATTGCTTCAAGGTTCTTCAGATGTTAATTAAAACTTGTGTGAATAATCAGGTGTAGTGAGATAATCCACCCTGACCGCTCAGTGCAACAGGTATAGGTGGGTGCTGGGAGTTGGACTAGGATCCTTCATAAAATTCCCAGGCTCTCTTGAGATGTTATATCAAAGCCAGCAGCCATTTGCTTAACCTGTTGAGGGCTATGAAAACAGTATATTGTTAACCTTCCCGCTAGGTTTTGTAGGTTGCTGCAACCTGAAATCCATCTAAATGCTACTGAGGTGTCCACACTAAATGAGTTCAAAGCAGGCGGGGCCTTTGACTACCAACTAGATTGGTGCAGCTGTTGAGGTGGACCTGTTGACATTAATGAGAAATTGGCTATTGAGTTCCTGGATTGTCCTTGGACACAGCTAATGCTTGGGTTTCCCCTTTTGTGTACACTAGAACTATTGTGCATGGGGAAGATAGTCCTCATCACCTATGGCTGTGAAATTTTTTCCCTTTGAGTTTTGAAGACAAGATTTCACTGTAGACAAGGCTGGCCTCCAACTCAGATGAACCTGTCTGCCTCCCAGGTGCTGGGAATAAAGGAGTACACCACTACCACCTGGCGCTGCTAATATTCTTTATTACACACATCTAGTCTGTTTTTAAATGGTTTTATTGTACACTATGTGTGTGCAGTGTCCATGGAGGCCAGAAGAGGGTGGTGGGATACCTTAGAAGGGTCAATGCTTGTAACTGCTGAGCCATCTCTCCAGCCCTAGCTTTTGGTTTGGTTTGGTTTTTCAAGACAGGGTTTCTCTGAACAACCCTGGCTGTTCTGGAACTTGCTTTGTAAACCAGACTGGCCTTGGACTTGGAGATCTGCCTGCCCGTGCCTCCCAATGCTGGGATTAAAGGTGTGTGGCACCTTGCTTTTGGTTTTGAGATAGGGTTACTGTATATAGCCCTAGCTGCACTACCTTTTTTTTCCCCCCAACTGAACATTTATGCAGAGCTGGGGATGGAATTTAGGGCCTCTTGCATGCTGTGTTAATTTTCTCCACCCTGACCAATATACCTGACAGACTATTCAAGTGAGGAAGGGCTTACTTGGACTCTTGCTTAGTTCCATCAAGGGTGGGAAGGTATGGTTGAACACAAGGTGACAAAAACGTGCAAAGTTTTATTTCCATTGCAGTGGACATAAGAAGGAAGAGCTAGCCAGGAGCCGGGCATGCATGGTTGCACACACCTATAATCCTAGCACTCTGGAGGTGGAAGCAGAGAATCAGGAGTTCAAGGCCAGTTGCAGCAAAACCTGTTGCTTTTTGTTTTTAAGCTAGCTAGAGAGTTGGGGCTATACCTCAGGTAGTAGAGCTTACCTAGTGTCTTAAGAGTTCCTTTTGCTGTGTCAAAACACTATGCCAACAGTAACTTGGGGAGGAAAAGGTGTATTTATTCTTTTACTCCCAGAGGGAAGTCAGGCAGGAACTTCAGCAGGGCAGAAACCTAGAGGCAAGGAGAAGCTACGGAGGTGTGTTGCTTTCTGGCTTGCTCCCCAAGGCTTGTCCAACCCCCTTGCTTACAGCGTTCAGGACCATCAGCCCAGGGGCCTTCCTATATCAACCATCAACTTTTAAAGTGGGCCACAGGCCAACTGGAGGGGTGTGTGTGTGTGTGTGTGTGTGTGTGATTTTCTCTATTGAGGCTTCGTCTTCCCAAATGACTAACTTGTGTCAAGTTACTATAACTCTAACCAGTACACCTAGTGTGCATGAAGGCCTGGGTTCTATCCCCAGCAATGCATAGTACAATACAGGTGTGGCCATGTACATACACCTTAGAGGTCAGAAGAGGGAGTCAGACCTGTAGCTGGAGTTATGGATAGTTGTGGGCCACCGTGTGGGTGCTGGGAGCTGAACCCAGGTCTTCTGCAAGGACAGAAGTCTGAGTCATCTCTCTGCCTCCCCTTTAAAGTTTTCTATTATATTTATCCTGTATGTGTGTGTGGCCATCAGGACTGATAGCATGCTCCTTTTTCTACTAAGCTACTGAGCTATGTTGTTGGTTCCCAAAGTCTATTCTTGCATTTACTATTAGGGATATGGATATATCCACTTCATGTGTGGAGTTTGTGACCCCTGAAAAGAAAAGACCATAGACTCAGTGCAATTATAATTTAAAGATTTATTCATTAGCTGCTAGCAGGACAATAGCCTTTAAGGCCAATCTCAGGCATGTCAGAAAGGAAAGAGTTTTTTTGTTTTGTTTGTTTTTTTAGATGTATTTATTATGTGTACAGTGTTCTGCCTGCATGTATCCCTTCAGGCCAGAAGAGGGCACCAGATCTCTATTTCAGATGGCATGTGGTTGCTGGGAATTGAACTTAAGACCTCTAGAAGACCAACTAGCGTTCTTGACCACTGAGCCATCTCTCCAGCCCCCAAGGAAAGAGTTTTTAAAGGAGAAAACCACAAGAAGACCTTCAGTGTCTAGGCGAGGAAGGAAAAATTGTTCTGCCAATTTAAGTGGTTAAAGCCATTCAAAACAGCTTTTGGGTAGCTGCATAAGCAAGTCACAAAAGCCAAAAGAGCAACTAGTCATAACCAGTTAAGATAGTCACTGATGTACATTTTGTGGTGGGGGTCGCTGGGAACTTACCTTCCAGGGACCGGAGTCAGAAACAGCTAGTCGGTACCAAGATGGATGTCTGGTATAAAATGGGATTTCTTAACCACCACAAATGAGGTCAGCTAATGAGTCTCACCAAAGTCAATGACCATAGATGCAAGAACTGGGACTAGAACACAAATGTATTTGTTCAATAATCTTTAACTTTTATGTGTGTGTGGGTGTTTTGCCTGCCGTACGTACATCAGTGCACCGTACGTATGCAGTGCCTATGGGAGCCAGAAGAGGGCACCAGATCCCCTGGGACTGGGTTTACAGAGGGTTTTGACGCCCAGTGTGGCTTGTAGACTTGGAATCTGGGTGCTCTGGAAGGGCAGCCAGTGCTCTTAACTTCCGAGCAAGCTCTCCAGTCTTGGTCAATAAATATTCATTTCCTGTATACTTGGGACTTTCTGCAGAGTCCAAGTCCTGTGTTACACAAAACCAACTGATGTAAGATTCCAAAAGAGCCGGCATAGTGGCGCACACCTTTAATCCCAGCTCTTCGGCAAAGACAGATGGATCTCTGTGAATTTCAGGCCAGCCTGGTGCACAGAGCAAGTTCCAGAACAGCCAAGGGTTCGCAGAGAAATCATGTCTAGAAAAACAAAAAAAAAAAAAAAACAAAGCAACAACAAAAATAAAGATTTTAGTTTTTATTTTTATTCATTTTCATGAATGATTATATGTATGCCACGTGTGTGGAGGTCCCTAAAGAGGCCAGAAGTGGGTATCAGGTCCCCTGGAATTGTGCTGGAAACCAAACTCAAGGCCTCTGGAAAAGCAGTGCCTGTCAGCTCTTACTGGGTGAGCCATCTCTCAAGCATGGTTGTTTCTGACACGTGGTCTCTCGTAGCCTATCCCGATCCTCCTGCCTCCACCTCCAATGCTGGGATGCAGTACTGAGCATTTGGTGCTGGATGGGACCCAGGGCCTCATGCCCACCCATCGTGCACTCCACCAACATCTAACAGCTCGCTCAGGGTGGCAGCTCCCCACCCCACCCCCTTCAGGTTCGTTCTTTGTTGACCAGGT